AGATATATGTGCGACTCAATACTGGGCATGTTTGAAGCAAGCATCAACCTTTTATTGTTACTCCTAAGTTCCCTAAACATTAACAGCACTAAAAAATACTACAGAAACACAAATATTCATGTGTTCAGATGATTATCAGTGGTTTCACAGGTATGTTCGTACACTAATCAAACTACTTCGAAATAAATGAAAGTGTCAATGACATCGTAGCTCACCACAAAAAATGACACAAATGAGTGAGTGAGAAGATGTCAGTTTTAATTCAGCAACCATCGACGTACATTTTAGAAACGAAGAGTATATATGGGAGAACTCCCATTTTATACTCTTGATAATTATGTGTAATTTTTTATTTGAAAATAAATGTTTGAGATGTGAAAGTCTGAGATGAGGGCGAGTGATGGCGTTACAGCTAAATGATCGTTATTTAACGTTTTTATAATATTCAGATTTAGGCACTGCCTAAAAGCGGAGCTCCCGATGTGTAACGTGTAAGATTGAGAGGATACGCTTATTCCACGTAGCTGCTGTGTACCACGTGACAATGGTGTTTCCCTGCCCATAACACAACTTTTGTCAAAGGTTAATTGGTTGCGTTGGAAGTGTTTACTTCGTATGAGTTTTCCTAGGCGGTAGCACACGGTTGCCATCTGTATATCGCAATAATAATTTATAAACCAAAATGAATCACAATTTGTGATGGTAGATGGCGCTATCCCCGCTTTGTAGCGATGGCGTTCGAAATAAATAGGTTATGCTGCGTTCCGACATGTTTTGTAAAACTTTACTCTAATATAGACGTTTTATCGGCAGGGTAGAGAGGAAATAGCAATTTTGCATTAAAGATATTGTCAATGAAATCTTGTGAAACGAACCAGACAAATGTGACACCACAGACTGTTTGTTATCTGCGTTTTTTGCATAAATTGCATAAACCTACCTAATTTGCATAATTTTTTTTTTTAAATATCAAAACCCCTAGCCCTCACATAACATTCACATACCAAAAATGAGCAAAATCCGTTGAACCTGAACTGACTAATGGCAATTCCCATTTTTGGCAAAAAATTGCTGTGGCTCGAAAGTACGTCGACTGCGTGCTCCAAAATAGGACGTTTAATATGGGAGCATAGCATGCAGTAACAACTATACCCAATTTCAAACATGTGGGTGAAACGGTTCCTGAGTTATCGTGGACCGTAGCGAAATGTTGACGAACGGACGGACGGACGGACGGACAGACGGACGGACGACGACCCATGGCAATAGCTCAGCTTGACGATGTCAAGGTGAGCTAAAAATTACCTGAGGGTCAATCATCAGTGGCCAGCGGCGCGAATTGCTGATGATAATTCCATTGTCAACAGAAAAGCTGTCAGTAGGCAAGCCAGCAATATTCCAGGCCCTGATTGCCACCTGTTCACCCAGTGTATCCCTGAGGGAGAACCCATCACTGCACGGGATGCGCAGCTGCTTGCAGACAGATATCCACTCAGTCACCTGGTCTTGTCTATATCCAGAGGTGAACGCACCAAGGTACGCTACCACGCCGGCTGAGATTAGTACATCACCAGTCAGGTTCAGGTACCTGAAATGTTTGTCAAAAATCGTAAAGACAATAGGTGATGATTATTGATACTACGTATAGGAGGTACTCATGGTGATAAAATATGTGAAACCTTATACATGTATGATGCATGTTACATTATTAACAATAAAGATTTCCCATATTGTGTACAGATTTTACATATCATATCGTATGGCTGACTAAATCTTTCCGAGCATTTGGTAAACATGCCTTTCGCTCAATTCCTTCGCTGACTGATTCCACCGATCCTTCTCACCACCAAGGCCACCGATGAGCTTCTCGGCACGATCTAGCTTCTTGCTACACAGATCTACTTGGGTTTCTAAATGAGCTTTCTTGCGCTTATTTTCCTCCAGTGTTTCCTCAAGCACCTTGAGTTTATCTTGAACCTATCCAGAAAGGATCATCAGTAATTAGTCTGCACAATTCTATGAATTAATAATTATTACACAACATAATATAATAATGTAAACCTCTTTCAGGGCTGCACGCTTCTTCTCTAGAGCAGCCATGGCTGTAGCCAGTTCCTGCTCTGCTCCTGCCAGGGCCAGCTTTTTCGGTGCGACTACTTTGGCGACACGGTCATAAGCTTCCATTGCAAGGACCCACCTGCACAAACCTGTGAGTAAAATTCTCTTGCTTACTATGTTGACAAGTCTGTCAATGTGTATTACTCATACTTGGCATAAAATCACAATATAGCATTTTTTGAGGGCTCTTTGTATGTTTGACTACCTGTAGTTCGATTGCATTTATCACCATATCGTAAGTGTCTTTTTCATCTCTATGCAAATCCACATATCTGTTACTGATGTGTATATGCATGCATCTACCACTAGCATAATTGCTGACTGTGTAGCCTTTTTAACAGTGTGTTAATTGCTACAGTAAGCACATTTCTGCATATGCCTGTCTAATATAGAAAGTACCTACATATTGTACTTATAATATAAAGACAATCAAATGGGAACCTTCAGCAGCAGTGGAGGCTGATTTAATCTTATCTGCATCAAAATCAGGATTTGTGCAGTACTTCGTACGAATCACCTTGATAACTGGCCCTGGAATGTTGTCCTGAACAAAAAGTGAGAATAGTGAGAAAATACATACATATGATGCATTTGCTACTATACGTAGATATAGACGACTCAATTGAAGACAGAACCTATTTTGATGACAGATATTACGGTAGTACAACTACCACTATCACTACTACCAATTGTAATATAATTTCTATGTCATTAAATATTCTATTACAATAATAACTTATACCTATACAAATAAATGGGTTTTGACTTTACACTCACTTTGTCATATGTAGACAATGAATCTAGGAACTTCATGTCACCAAGAAGTCGCTTTGAGGGCCCCCAGTAATCTTCAATTTTTTTCCCTAAAACCAACAAAATGACGATAATAAACACAAGTTATTATATCACACCATTATTAAAGCAACAACATTGGCCAATGTTAATGTCAAGCGTGATCAGCAACAATATTTACACTCATCAGTAAGACCAATGTCATTATAGAAATAGGAGGATTGACCTTGGTTATAACTATAGTATTTTGTGTATTTTTACACAGGTAACATTGTGTTACAATTGCTAGAATTAGAGGAATTATAATTAATTTAGTGGGCAATATACAATGATTTCGTTGCGAGAAACGTGCTTATACACAAAGTGAAGCATATTACCTGAACCAGAAGGGTCGGGGATCCTATCTGGTTTGGATAATTTGAGAATACAGATGGCTTCCATGACAAGTTTCACACCAGCTGGTGGGCTCTTCATAGATTTCACCATTGTGATGTCCTAGCAAATACAGCCATTATTTATACAAGGGTAATACTTGTAAGAACTATTCTTAATAATGATGCAAGTTATGTGCACCAGTATATAAACAAGCATTACTTTTGTTTTGATACATACTCAAATAAAATTCGATACAAAAATGAACCTAGAGTTCATGAAGCCCTTTCCTTACTGTAATTAGAATATAACTCCAACACATTTCTTTCCATGCACAGGCACCTCAAGAACATTATATTGACAAATCCTACTATGGCTACCAATAAAATAACAAGGTCAGGAGATGTGATGCTATTAGGGCATACGTTCTGTGTAAGGGTGTTGAGTGCAGATAAGGCCCCATTCAGGATGGGTATGGCTTCAGCAAGGTCAGCATCACATTCATCTTTGATGGCTTTGGCTGCGCTGGCTTGCTGGTTGGCCACTGCTTCATCTGCTTTCACAACCTACAATAGTGATGCAATCAAGCTAGAAACATTTGATGCACATGCACACTTATATCAGCAAAGCATCCAATAATTAATGTCTGTTTCCTGTTTACCCTGTTCACTTCCAGTTGTGCTCAACATCGAAAACAACCCTTGTCTCAGAGGGTTTGATGAATTGTGGTTTTTATATTTCACATTTAAATTCTGGAGCTTTATTGCATTTATTGAAAAATATTTCAATATTCAAAGCCCCCTTCCTGTGGGTCAAGAGACAGTATACTCTCAGTTTCATGTACCTTTCAATATCGTCATAGAGATAGGCAGCCATCTAACTGAAACTGTTTCCCATTGGCTTCACAATACAATTAATTCAATACCTTAACATGAACACGAGGACTGTGGATAAACTATTATTACTTGTCCAGTTACTATCTCTTCACTACCACATTTTCAACTGCACTGATAATGCATTTTTTTACAATGACACCTTATATTGATAGGGAAAGCTGGCTTAAGACTTGCCAAAAATATTTTTGACAGCCAGTTAAGTAATCAAATAGAAGAACAAGAATAGAAGAACAAGAATAGAAGAATTCAGTACTACCTTTTCTACTTTGGCCACCTCAATAGAGTCCTTCTCTACTATGACCATTATCTCATCCACTTCTTTGCTGGCTACAACCAGCTGGGGCTGGAGGGCTGTCAGTTCTTCCTGCATGGTGGACACTTGTGAGGCAGCAGAGTGGAGCTTCTCTAAACCTATCTCATATCTGCGCTTTGCCTTCATCACTTCCCTAGTGAAACAAAATGCTAATGTATTATCATACCAAGTTATAAGCAATGCTAGCATTATGCACAGTATCCATACATAAAGCTAATATATGTATATTACTGCACAGGTGAATTTTCTAGTAGGTTCACAGTAGAATAGTACTGTGTCCAGGTTGATTTAATTGGCAATTTAACTAAATTGTTAACATTGACTTACCCTCGATTTTTATCCAATAGCACCTTGAACGTATTTATGAGCTCAAGGTATGAGGTTGGTGTCACGTAGTTGTGCCTTTCCAACTCCTGAAAGTATGTAGACACCTTTATGCACACAGCTTCAACAACAATATCCATCCTTATTAAATCTAGTTCATCTGCTCAGCCTCGTAGACACGCAATACAAGACTGTGCCAGTTTGCTTTTATTGCAATCCAAGTAACAGCTAAATTGCGCTCATGTCATAGGGTCTATGTCCCCCAGGGTACTGCCGGAACATACCCTGGGTACGGTCCGGTATACCAGAACGTACCCTGGTGACCTGGTCACTATTTGATATGGTTAGGGTTAGGATTAGGGTTAGGGTTAGGATTAGGTTTAGGGTTAGGGTTCGGGTTAGGGTTAGGGAGTATGCGTAGGCGAGTCCTTATACTCGTTAGTGGAGTAGGCTAGGTACGGTCCGGCATATAATATAGTACCAGGGTACATTCCGGTATACCGGACCGTACCCAGGGTACGTTCCGGCAGTACCCCGGGGGACATAGACCCTATCAGCCTAAATTGCCTCCAGCTCGATCTAATCTCAAACGAGTTTTGACATGGCTTCGACAGCACCTCTCCTACACAATTAGAAATTAATAGGTTCTTTTGGTCATAATGTGGTGACGACTTTTTTTTAAATTTTAGCATGCACAGTGCTAACCACAACATATACCTACCTGATGAAATCTGTTAGACAGTTGCTGCGTGCTGGTGTGAAATCTTTTGCACATGACAATGCAGCCTTGTCTAGTGTCTTCTTCCATCTCTACATCCTCCAAGAAGCGGGTTGCCACTGCCTCTAAAGCATCCTCTGGCCAGGGCTGGAACCAGTCTATAGTGCAGCAGTTGACAAGTGAAGGAAACTTTCGTAGCCGATTTCTAAATGCATCACCTACAATAAGGAATGAGATGAATGCATATGAATGTCAATATGAAGGTAGAATGAAAAGACATTCTGCATTACTTCTTGGAAAAAATACAAATTTTAAATACATTTAATTGTGCATACAATTTTTAATGTCAAATTCGACATCTATCACAAGGTTTAAAGACTGCTAAAGTCCAATTTATTGCTGATGCAAACAATTTAGGCTGTGGCAAACGACATGGCATAATTTAATCATTTTGTTTTACTTGACATGATGGGTCCCATAAAGTAATAATATTATTACCATAATCTTAGGTTAGACTATTCGACTTAACTAGATAACTTGATTTAATATGTTCTCATTTGAAAGTCTTCTAATTACCTTTGTTACTGTTAAAAAACAGTTCCTATCACAAATTATTAAAACAAATTGTTAGAAGATGCATGTTTTACCAATTGGGCTCATAGCCAACACGATGTGCAACTGGTCTCGAACTCTCTGAATGAACATGTTGAAGAGGGCAATAGGCGTCCCATCTGTCTGTTTGCATTTCTCTTTTTGTCTGCAATACAAAATAATGCTATTATGCAAATATGCGCTTAGGTGGTAACTTAACATCAGCAACAGTAACATCCACTACACTACCAGGAGTATCATTAAAAAATATTCCTCACTATCTTCTCCTGATCTATTAAATGCTCAGAAAAGGCAGTTATTTTAGTATCTTTCACCCGATATTAATCTAGGTAGCATAAAATTTATTTCTGGTTTATGAGCAAATTCTGTCAAAAATAGAATCCCTCCGAATACACTCTAGAATGTGCTCTTTGTTATGTAATACGTGATACCAATGGGGCCCGAGCTTAGAGAAAATATAATGGTCTTACTTGTCAATCTGACGCATTCTTTCACATATTTCTTGCTTCTCATCCAGAGCAAACAGGTTTGGTACTTCCCCAGCATTCAGCAGGTTGTTAATATCTTCCAGAAAAGATTCCTCTTTTATCTAGTCGATCAAAATGAACAGAACCAACTCTGCCTCAATAAAACACAGAGTTAGAAGACATCCAGAAATCATCTTTTTGGGTAATGTAAATGTTAAAACATTGAGTTCTGATGATAATGCCAAATACCCATTTTATTGGCAATGCGCTGCTATGTCATGTATGTTGAAATGTAATGAAATTTTACATCAGGTACAAAAAGGTAGGAAATATATTGGCACAATTTATAATGCTTTCGTGAATTTTTTTTTCTGTTTACATTAATTAGCTATAGCGAGATAGAGAGCAACAGCATGTTTGCTATATGTATAGTATATCTAGTTTTCAGGTACCATGTGACAAATCATGTGTGTAGATATTCACACAGTCGTGAGATAAAGTAGGTAAACTATCCTGTCTAAAATCGTTCTGCAGTATTTTTTTAACTGTTTAGTGTATCATGACTTTATAAGTGATGGTATATATAGGCTGGCATGCAGCTTCTTCTTTAGAAAGTCGCAGAGGCGAACCTGTGAGTCAGCAAACAGAAAGACAGCATCCTGGTCTCCTACTGCAGACTGGCGAATAATTTTCTTCAGATCTTCTCTCCATTCCACTGACGTGTAACCTTTGCCAATCTCAACCTGTACATGTTACATAAATAATTACCTCATGTACGTGTATGTGTATCTAATAGAATATAGTGATTAATCCAAGCTGCTGGACGATTCATTGGTCTTCTAGCAATAATTTTTTTTAATTATCAACATAACTTAATTATGCTGCCATGTGGCCTACTGCCGTGTGTGTATATGGATCCTTTGGTAATATCCAACCATTTTAGATAGGAAACGTTTACTATAGAATCTACTCTGGAACATACACATACATACAAACATACACAACTAATTTCTGGTGTTATTTTACATACGATTTATGTCTAACGTAATCAAATAGGTGTATAATACGTGGATGCACCTGGCACAGGTTGGCATCAGCCATATGAGCTGCAAGGCGAGTAAGGGACTGTCGGCCAGAACCACCGATTCCCACCAACAATGCGTGACTTCTTGGCTGCTTCAAGATGCGTGATATGCGGGCAACATGTTCAATTGCAAACCTGTGCATAATAAATGGATTTGCATTAACATCACGAATGGCTATCAAGCCAGAGAGACAGCCTGACAGAAATAGAGAGACAGTGACAGACAAACGGAGAAGTAGATGGATAGAATGCAAGACAAAAGGATGAACACACAAGCACGCATGCACGCACACACACACACACACACCACACACGCACTCCCGCACGCACGCACACACACGGACAGACAGGCAAATATAATCAATACAAGATTTCACTTCGCAGATAACAAATTAAACAAATGAGTAGCTACGGAGACGAAAGAAAAATATACAAACGCTATACATAATCAACAAGATGTAAATATGGCAGTAAAATGAAATTACCTAAACATGACAAGGTTCATTGGCTTTTTGCTCATATTGTTGAATTCCTCCAGATATCCTTCGACCACCACTCTCAGCTTGTCTAAATCATGCACCTCCATGTAATGTTTGCTGCATGAGAAATTCAAGGCTTAACATGCTTGAAAAATCACATAATATATTCATAAAGAATGTAAATAACTATAGATTCCACCACCATTATTTTGTAACCAGATTAAACACATTTTAAAGCTTAGAACACAAAATTTTGGGAAATGACAATGGTTAGTTCAGGGTTAACACATATTTGGTCATTCTTTTTGCTAGACTACCTGTAGATATGATTATAAGCTCCACCAAACTTACTGCTCAGTTATGGCATCACATAGAGTCATATTAACATGACAATACATGCACACGTATCTACTATTGTATAGTTCTAGACTGTATCACCTACAGGGTGTAAGTATAGTAAGAATATATACCAAGAAAAAAAGCTACCTGTTGCTCTTTGGATCTGAGAAGTCACAGTACAGCAGTGCTCTCATGTCAGACTCGTGTACTTTCCCATCAGCATCAGCATCCAGTGAAGCAAACAGTTGATCAAAGTCTGTACTAAGCGTCTCTTTAGTGACATTCCTCACACAGTTGAATAGCCAATCTCTGTCGTGGTCATCCACGAGGCGATCATAATACACTCTGAACACCTGCAGAAATTTAAAAAATGTAAATTTACATTTACTTGATTTCCTATTAATTGACATAAGACCTGATTGAGGTTCAAGTACCAATTAACCTCAAAATGCTACTTGTTTACGTATATATTTGCAGTGATATTTAATGTTCTATGGAACTTCTGAGGTATATTGAAAACCTATAGGCAACTTTGGGAGGGTCAGGGACGTTAGGCTGAGAGGGTCTATGTCCCCCG